ATGGTTTCCCTAGGACATGCGTGTTATGTTTATCATAATATCAGATCAGCTCTTGTGGAAAACGGTTATATGGGTGCTGTGTCAATCTCGGCTTATTCTGACTATTATGGGAATTATGTTTTTTACTTCTCATATTACGGATTCACCTTACGAAACAAAGGTGCATTCCTTTACATAAACCCTCTTTACTCTTTATATGCATCTAATGTTGTTGTTCTCCGTCTGATATATATATAAGTTATAAAGGATCAGTCTGAGGATGATTCTCTGGAAGTTGATGTAATGTTAGTGGACATTGTTTTATATGCACTAGACAATCCTGCACCATCAAATTTGTTGGTAATCTCAAAAGACATCTCAGAAGAAACAGCGCTCTTCACTCTTCTTCAAGCTTTGGATTCGAAAGGTTACAATATCCTCGTTGCACAGACTGAGGAAGTCGCATCAGCAGTTCTACATTGTACTGAAAGCTCGAATCGGCATTTGAAAAGACTATTTGGTCATATCGGAAGCACACCCAACAAGGGGAAGAAGCCAAAACATCATGGTAAGCTAGTCGATTTAATTGATCTGACATAGTTGTTTAATGGTTAATTTGTATTGACAATCTAATTTTCAACCTTGCAGAGGCTGGTGATATACGCATCTTCTGGAAGTGGTTTTGATCCCCATATGTTTCAGATCAAATCTTGCGAGTCATGGTTATGATGGTGAGGTGTCAATCCGGGCTTATTGTGAGGAGAATATGAGCCTGGATATCACTTTGATACGCACAGGTGAAATTCCTTCAGTTAAACACTAGTTTTCTCTTTGTTGTATGTAGTCTAAACCTCTGTTTATATGTTGGTTTCAGGAGATAGATCTACCAAAATGTTAAATGACATTCTTTTCTGGGCACTGGAAAATCAAAAAGCATCACAAAATTTATCCCAGATCACTTGTATGATGTTCTGCAAGCTTTGAGAGCGAGAGATAAAAGTGTTGAACTGAAAGTGGAAGAGACCACCGGAATGTCTGAACTGAAAGTGGAGTGAGAGCTAGCTGGTTCTCCCCGAAATGCGTTGAGGCGCAGCAGTTGACTGGACATCTAGGGGTTTCCGAGGACTAGCTTCGGTGCCTAGTGGGAGGCTGACACTAGGGTTGGACAAGTTTTTATCAATCTCACCTTTGTTTATGTGTGAAAATGCTTTGGGTTTGTGTATGTAAACAATTGACTTGTTGTCTTTCTTCTGTTAAACTCTGTTTTAGGTTCAAATGATCTGCAGTTTTATCCTAACAGTAATATTTCTTGTCTCTTTTAATATAATATAACAGGTTTTCAAACTTAAATATAAGAATATTGAAAAGTTGAAAGAAGATTTAGAAACTCTGAAAATCAGCATTCATGCTTATTAGGTAAACATACAATTAATAAGTCAAGTAATGAAAAATCACAGATTCCTTACAAAAATTTTCCGAATTGAGACTCGAGAAGAGACCGTTGTTACAGAGTTATATAAACTCAATCAATAAAACCTAAATTCATTCCTCAGCGAGAATACACAATAGCAAGATATATAGAAGGAATGTTGACCTAGTCAAAAGATGACATCTTTCGAGCAAAGACCTAATTATAAGAAGAGAACATCATTGGATCATAAAGAGGTGTCTGATTCCACGGCTGAACAAGTGCGTTTTGTGTCAGAA